TTCACAAAGGGAAGATGTCTTAGGGACAAATACTGGCACCTGTCATAGAAGACAAACATTATTTAACTTCCAAGTTCAAGACTAAGTTCCCACAATCATGCTACACAGCCCCGCCCACTACAGCAGTACCTACAGAAGCATATACCCAGCCAGGTTTGCCTAAATCTGCACAACTGTGTCCCCTTAGAAGGGCTACTTTAACGAAAGGGTAAGCAGCAACAAGGACACCCAGGCCAGAGTAATTAAACAATTATCCCTTCTTTTGTGTCTTAGACCTTGGGGTCCCTAGTGTCACTAAGCCAGTTACCAAGTTTACACACAGATGACAAGAACAGAACATAGCAGGTAGTCTCCGTGGGTCCCTCTGCATGTGTGACAGAACCAAGAGAGCAACTAGCAGGAACGTGAAGTTTCATATGCCAAGTGCCTAAGAAGGCATCCCAACACCGACTCTGGGGTACACAGGCCCACCTGTCATTTGAGGACAGCAAAGCAGGGCACGGCAGTTGTCTGACCCACTCGGACACGGGGGGGGGGGGCACAAGGGGTTGCCTGTGAGGACCATCTCACCGCCCAGCTGTTGGTTCCCCGCCGTCAGAGAGGGGCAGCCATGTGCTCACGGGATGCCCTGCCGCTAAGTGGGATCCTGTTAGCCTACGGCGACAGGCAGGACTGAAACGATGCAGGCTCCCATAAAGACATCTGAGCAGATCGGCGAGACACAGCTTATCGGTAATGATTGGTGACCAGGGACTGTGAGAGTGCTCAGTCTAGGCTGTCTGAGGCACTTCTCTATGACGACAGAGACAACAACCCTGCCACCTGCATCAACACATTCTCTACACAGCAAAGAGGTGAATCCCACCCAATTAAAAAGGTCCAGAAGACTTCAGGCGGTTCATTTCTACGAGTTACAGACAGCTAACAGAACAGACGCTCTGAAAAATTCACTCGGGTAAGGAGTTTTCCTGTGACGGCAGCCTGAGAGGTGGGTGCAGCGAGGCCCAGAGGAGAAAGCTGCTTTCCTACTGCCCTGGTTTTTGTATTGATGTTGGCAGACATGCTGACAAACTATAAGAGCACGGGAGCAATAAAAGAGCCGTAATGAGCCGAGGACGGTCAGTCCAGTCTGTGCATTCGAGTTTCAATAAGGGACAGAGGCTACTTAAGGAGTGTCACAGTGCCTTCCTGCCAGAATTTAAAAGTGACAATTTGTTAAGGTTGTTATTTTACTTGAAAAAAACAAAAACTAGAGCCTGAAAACGTCCAATACTTTAGACACATAGTTATGAGACCGGTATTGGGAAAACCAGAGCAATAGCTTACCATCATTCCTAGCGCTGGGAGAAATTCACCTGCAGGAGAATATTTGTGTCCACAGAGCAAAGGCAGGTATGAGCAGCTGAAGAAAAAAACAAGAAGCAACTCCAAGCCAATTTATCAGTTATGGTCAGACTTTCACAGTTTAATTCCTTGTGCATCATGTATGTTCATCTTAACGATTAAGAGGAAAATATACTTGATAGATATAACTGGTCAAAACTTTGCCCTCCCAAACATTGCAGAGTCCTTATGGCCAAAGATGGAAAATATAGAAACAAAAATAAACAAGGAAGGAACAATACAAACATTATTATGTTGAATTTGCCAAGGATTTCTTAGAAATGACACCAAAAGTGCAGGTAACAAAAGCAAACACATATCAATGTCAGAGCTTTGGGTAAGGATGCTTGCTAGCAAACCCTGACAGGCTACTGAGCTCAAGCCCTCACTCAGGTCCACAGGATGGAAAGACTGACTCCCGCAAGTTGTCCTCTGACCTTCAGGAGTGCTACAGCACAAGCACAGCATTATATGAGCAGATTCATGCACAAACACACACACAGGTATGCGTGACCATAAAAAAAAAAAAAACTCAACAAAAGGCAACTTTATGGAGTGAAGAAAAATACCAAATTATATACAGACAAATCCTGCAGGTCAACAATGGTGACAAAGAAAAGAACTTTGAGTTGACATTTCCCCATGAAGTCTGCATGGTCAACAAGCACACGGGAGACCATTGAATGTTGTCTTACGTCCATCAGGACAGCTGTGCTGCACCCTGAATAACTGAAAATGCAGTCTCAGAAAGACGTAGCTGCATCTGTCCCACAGCATGGACGTCTCAAGAGCAAGCGGGAGGGCAGCAGCAATGCAAGTGTGCTCGTCAGCACGCAGAGAGCGGAAAAGACACAGAGGACCAATTACTTGGCTTGTGAGCAAAGAAAAATCACACAACCAGGATGACCTATGATGATGTCCTGTAAGCAAAACGACCAGTCAACAGGATAAATAGTGGGTTGTGGTGGATAAAGCTGCTGGTGGTGTAAACCTGATTATTTGGGACCCTCCCTCAGACTGTCCTGACTACACACATTCCTATACACTATTTGTTTGATTTGTAAAATCACTGTATGATTTTACGTATGTGTAGCACCTGGAACAGCCACTCACGGAGACATAAAGCAGGAAGACTGTGAAGAAAGCCCACGCTTTAAGTTGCCTGATGGGTAGTTCCAGTTTTTGCAGGGTATGGAGGTCAGCTGAACACCACTAAAGAAAGGGCACTTATAAATGGCGGAGGTTTCTGCTGTGTGTAATGTTGGGCAGCAATCAAATCAATGGAAATAATCTGTAATGACAGCTACATGAACAAATGATATACACACAAAGGAAAGTCTGGATTGTAAAATCACCCGTGCACTGGCCGGTCACGCCACTCTTGGGAGCTTCAGAGCTCCCAGCTTCAGAGATGCATACAGAACCGTAGCTCAGAAAACCCTTCTGTACAGTAACTGAGAAATATGAACCTAAAGACAGTCATTTCCCCCTAGAAACTGATTCTCAGCATCTCAAAACAGTAATACATATGGTAAAGTTTGAGCTAAAAGTCTTTAAATCATTTCCCAAAAGGAAAATAGCTGAAGGTCGGAAGGTGAACCTGCCCAGCAGGGAAAATTTCCTGCTCCGTGAGCTGGTGGCCCAAATTTCAGCCCTACAACCAGTTCCTGAAAGTCATCCTCTGACCTTCACATACATCAGTATCTAAATGGGACTGTTTCAATAGTCATGTAACAGAGCATTTGGTACCACTAAGAAGATGCTTTGAATGTCATGACAAAGCTCTCACTCTGCGTCACAGAAAAGCAGTTGTAGACAGAACTGAAGCACAATCCCACCCACCACCCACCGCTGCTGTGAAGCACACACATAGCTGATGCCAAAGGAAAGAAAATCTCTGAAACAAATGCCAACAATGTTTGTTAATGGAACAAATGAACTTTTTAACCCCATTTACTTTTTTGAAAAGTTCATAGTAAATCCTTTTTCTGCTGAGAACTCAGTAAGGAACTGTTGAGATGTGGGAAGAAGGCAGGTGACAGCTGTCCTCACCAGGGACAGTGAGAGAACACCTGTCCAAGGGAAGGCTCTGCGCCGCCTGAATCTTTCCGTTTGGCGTTCTCTTGACAGTCCCATTTGCATCCTTATTTTGGGATGGATATACAAATATTGTCAGAAGTGCCTGCATTTCCTCTTCAGCAACGGCAGCTAAGACATGGGTGCCACTCGCGCCAAGACTTCTGCAGCTCCTTGGCAATGCACAAGTCAGCCCACATTAAAGGTTCTTTTGGTCACTTAACATGATTGACCTCAGCCCTGCTGCATTCCAGATGAACTGCCGTCTGAGAGCTCAAAGAATAAACCCGCACCATGGTCCTAGGCTGAGGAATTGTGGCAAGACGGCCATCCAATGACCCCAGGGCCAAGAGCAGTCTTTGAGGGACACTATGGCTCCCATCTGTATGCCCAACATTTGGGAGGGTGACAGATGATTGCTGAGTTCCGTACCAACCTGGGCTACAGAGTGACTCAAAGAAGATCCAAACCAACATTCCTACAAGTCACGGGACAGAGCAGTGGGTAGCCTGCTTCCGCCATTTCTAACATAGCTGGGATGAATTCCTTACCAGCCTGCTGGCACGGGAAGATGGAAGTGCAGAAACCAGAAAGAGGCTGAGACAGACCAGACAGTAAGAGGGTGTGTAGACAAGCGTGCACTTGAGGAAGCTGTTGTGGGTCTTCGAATTCACACCAGTCTGGGCTACATGGTGAGAACTTGTCATTCAAAATACCATCTCTATTCAGCAGCACTTACTCCTGGTAGTCCCACAAGCCTAGACAGAAAGCTTCCAGGACACCCCATTCTGGATTCTCAGCACAAGTGTGGTCACTGATGGACCAGGGGAAAAAAAAAATACACACCCAGGAGCTGGGCTAGCAGCCAGCCTCCCTGCGGCAGGGGGACTAAGACTGCTCCTCAAGCGCTGCCTGGTCCCCACCCTACTCTATCCTTGCCAAGACAACAGTTCGATAAGAGCCACAGGCTGACCTTTGCTTTCAGAGAGCAGGCTCCTATCCTAGCAGAAGCTGGCAGTGTTCGAAGCCCAAACTCTGTGTAAGCAACATTCCCTGTTTTAGTAACACCACAGCCCCATTCAGCACAGGTTGGCTCCCACGACCAACCAGTTACATTCCTACCCAGGACTAAGTGTTGACAGGAAGGATCCACTCCCTGAATTCCAACGGCTTCTGCCTACAGTAAAAACCCTCCCCACAGTAAAAACCTTAGTCATGTACCAGCACAAACAAGCCCATGAGAACTACATGTTCAGACCCAAATCTCAAGCTCATGCCAGCTTCCGAGTGAAAATATGAAAAGCTACCACACAGTACCATTTAGATGGCTTTCCCCAAACCAAAATATTTAAATACAACCTGGGAATGTCCTGGATTATGTACGGCCTTACCTGGACACTCATTATTACCCTGTGTGATGTGGGTCTTGCCTGCAACCATCCCCAGCCCCTCCCTGCTCTAACTGCAGTGAATCTAGGCCTAACTATAACACAGATGAGAGCGAGGTCGAGGATGTAACAGCCATGACAATTCTAAGGAGCTTCAATCTCAAACCTTTATTTTGCTGTTAAGGGGAGAAAGTGATTAGTGGCTACACACTGAACACTCTAGTACAGACAAGTAGGTGCTGCTGACCCCGTACAGCTCTTCACACCTCCCCATTCCAGAGACCAAAACCCGGCTGTTCCAATGACAATCATGCCCACCCTGCTCACACAGCAAACACAAAGCCACCAACCCAGAAGACAAGGTCCCTCGAGCAGCACTTGAGGGCTGTATTCTAAGAGGAGAAAACACAAAAGCCACTCGGCTGTTGCTTTACCAACGCTCAAAACATTCAGAGTCAATCTCTGCAGATCATTCTCTAGTAAGGTGGCCCCTCCCCGGTTTTATTTTTTTATTTCCCAAACTGATTAGTCTCCCCCTCTGGTCGAGAATGGGTTAAAAAGCGCCTTTCAAACCAAAGAACAATGATTCATGGCAAAGGCACAGGTGCACGGAACAGGTTTCCAGTGATCCCATAAACGCAAGACCGTCCCCTAGTCACAATGACGCATTTGAAAGATTAGTCAAGTATGCAAACGCTGTTGTCTCCCAGCCAGTTCCAGAAATTCAAGATGTGTTTCGTAAGGCATGGCTCACACACTACATTCCTGTGTTGCATAACGCAGGACCTGCACGATACATTCCTGTATGTGTTGTAAATGGACGCAGGACACCCAAATTTAGATAGCATTAGAATCTCCAATAACAGTACCCGATAAACCCCCAGTAGTGTGAACCAAGCACAAAGGTTTTTCAAGAGCCCACAATGTGGGCATTCACAAGCCCTCCCCCTTTTACTCCTTGGAAACCGCTTCCCAGCAACCCTTTCCGGCTGCCCCCATAGGTTGGCATGTGTTTGTGTATTCTTGAGTTTGACACGATCGTTCAGCAATTATAAAAATGTTTTTCAGACACAACTTCAATTATTCCCCATTCAACAGCAAAGCAAAACAATTTTGCTTTTCCTCTTGGATTTGAGCAAGATTTTGATAATTTCCAAGCCACCGCCACTGGACACCAAGGATTCATTCACCCTCATTCCGGATTTACCTTCTACGAGTGCTATTTAGTTCCCAAACTGTTACCCCCATCGACCCCAAGCACGCCCCCTGCCAGCACCCCACTTCTCCATCGAGCCTCTGGCCAACACCAGTGCCAAGCACAGCCAGTCCCACCTCTGGTAGCAGTGTTCCCAAGCCTGACCCAGTACAAGTTTAAGGCAGAAGGACAGGTTTTAGATGACCCCTGTAACCCCAGCAGGATTGAGAACCCAGGCCAGCCCGGTACACACCGCCAGGCCCCGAGTCAGGAGAACCAGCCAACAAAAGGAATCAAGAACTAGGTTGTAAGTTTGGATAGCGCGTGCCTACCACCCAGCGCCAGGCCCAAACCCACAGAAAACCAGATCCCCGGGGACCACTGCAGGCCCGCCATTCCCTTCCAGTGCCAGGTGCCGCCCAAGATTAGATACGCCATCTACAAACCCCAACAGAACTTGTGGGCAGTTTGTGCCCACCCCACCCTAGTTAACAACTGGCTCCACGGAATACCCTTCCCCAAAGTCATCTGTAAGTGAACAGCTTTCCCCAACACCCAAAAGTTTTATCACACTAAGAAATCCTCTGACCGAGGCAGAGGCGGGCCGGCTGCAGAAGCGGGGAAGGTGGGTGTGGTCACCGGACTCCATCTACACGGCAGGCTTCACGGAGGACATCAAGCCAGTGTTCTACACCCCAGGAATCTTCTCGAAGCCAAGTTTGCAGCACAGAACCAGCAAGACTGGAGGCTTGGTTTAGAAGATGTAGCAGCCGAATGAACGCCTCTCCCCCCCCAGGAGGGGGGGGTCCCTGCTGGCATTCCCGAATCCGGAGAATGGTGCTCCCAGAACATTCACAGCCGACAGCCCCTCCAGCTGGAAGCATCTGCCCGCCCCCCGAAAGCGGATCTGAACTTAAAACGTTGGCCTCCTGAACCAGGCCTGGACACATGGCTGAGCGGAACCTCCTAAGCCTCTGGAATTCACTGGGTAGGGCATCAACTTAGGCCGATGTCTCCGCCAGGGTCTGCCCTCCTGCACTGCTACGACTCACACTGGCAAGGGCTCCATTCCTCCTGGTGCCATCTGCTTGGCATGATGAACACTACAGCAATAAACCACATCCATGAGGCATTTGGTGACCGCACAGCTGCGAGCCCACCCAACTCTCCCCACCCAGTCAGGGTATGTATCCTGCACTTTTACCAGTGAATACCAAAGCACCAGAGTCCAAGCCTGCGACACCGATCTACACCTTCCCAAGGCTTACCAGATAACCCAGAGGCCAAGGTTTTAAGTGAATCCTTAACCTCAGAGTTAGAGGGAACAGTAGGGCAAGAGGGAGATCACAGAAGAGGGAACCACGGGACCTAGAGAAGTCCAGAGGGGAGCAGTGCGATCTGAAAAATAAATCTGTGGTCAATACAGCCCCAAGACGCGCGCCCTCCATCTCCGCCGTCCCGGGACCTGGCCGACCTGTCGAGTAAAGACAACTCGCCTCTACAGCCCACTCCTCTCACCCAGAACTGGGTGCTGTCAGGCCAAGCCCAAATTACATACCACCGTGGGCCACAGCTGTGTGCCCAGCGAAGCTAAGTCCACCTTCCGTTAGACCAGGCCTCATCCCCACGCAGGCTCACAACCCCTCATCTGGAAAATAAGGGGTCTGCTGGTCTCGCAAAGGTCGAGGCCGACCCACGGCCCGCCTAGCTCTGCCCCCCACTGCCTGCCTTTCATGATTTCCAAGGCCTCGAGGGCCCAGGTCCACCCGTCTCCAGCACTTTCTGCTCTGCCACTCAATTCAAGCTAGGCACTGGGCCCGTGTAAGCCCGTGAAACTGTGCCTTCCTGGGGGTCAAGTGGCCCCGCTCCAGCAGACCCCAGGGACAGCCTGGTCTCGAAGGCTGCTGTCCCTGTGTGGCTCGTGGAAGGCGCTACGGAAGCCGCCACGGAAGCCGCCTTCCACTCGTCCACTGTCCCAAAAACTAGCCCCCTTTTTAGCTAGCTTCCCTTCTCGCACCCCAACCCTAGTGGCTACCCCTAACTCTGCCATCTCTTCTCTGAGCCCTGAACTAGCCACCTCCTCCCCACCACTCAGCCCAAGCGCCAGCCCTTCCTGTCACTAACTCCTACAGGTGGGGGACACAACTTTTGCTTTTATAGTCTTGGGTCGCGTCACCCGGGCATTGCTCAACGGAGCGATTCCTCCACGGACACTCAAAAAAAAGTTCCTCCCCGACCTAGCCAAGGGAGCCCACGAGGGGCGGGGTCGTGGCCTCCACCGACGGCCACTCCCTCAGATGGCTCAACGAGCCTTTCTTGCCCCTTTGGCAGGGCGTCAGGGGATGAAGGACATTTCCGAAGATGGTATCCGGGAGGTGAATACCATCAGGGACAGACGCCCTTCGCTGTCTGGGGTGGGCAGGCCCGGCCGGGGCGGGGGGCTGGGGGAGGGGAGCACCCTGACTCAGGGCGGAAGGAAAACTACCAGTCGCTGCAGGTCACCACGCCCCGCGGGGGCCCGAAAGAAGGGCCGGCAGGGCGCCTGGAAAATTCCACCGGGTGGCGGAGGGATCTCTGCAGAGGCGCAGCCGCCACCGGGGCGGGGCGCGGCCCGGGCGCGTGACTCCTCGGGCGTTGCCGCCGCCTGCTCGGAGGGTGACGTCAGCGCGGGCGCCCGCAGGGTCGGGTGGGGGAAGGACCGGCCCAGCAGCTAGGGTAGGACGCTGTTAATTAATTTATTTATTTATTACAGTTTACTCGCCTTGTATCCCAGCCGCCGCCCCTTCCTCATCCCTTCCCAACCCCCCCTTCTCCTCCCAGGCCCCTTCCCGGTCCACGGAAGGGGGAGTGGGACTCTTGACTTGGGTCCGAGGTAGTCAGTGGGGTTAGAAGAAAGGCGGTTGCAAGGTTTTTAGTACGAAGCACAGGCCTGTAAAATGAGTCTGCGTTTGTGTGTGGTTGCAGAGGACGCCCAGCCCAGAAAAGTGGGTTGTTGTTTGTTTTTTTTTTTCCGAATCTTTTTGCTTTTGGGTGCGGGATGGCGAGAAAAGTGGTATTTTAAAGCCGCATTTCTCGGCGACAGCTTCTGGCCTGTGGTGGGGGCCGGGTTGAACGACCATTGGGGGAGCCAGGCTGGCTGTCCACGCGGGGTGGGGCCCGGCCCAGGTCCAAAAGGACACCTTATCCGCAAACCTCCGCGTCCCCCCACCCCCCCCGAGCTCAGCGGAGAGGAGCCAGAGGTTTGGGGAGGGTTTTCAAAAGGGGAATTGGTGCCAGTGCGGGGCCTGGACAACCTGGAGCCCCCCCTACCACCACTGTGAGGTCTTTCTTAGGCTCTAGAGCCGCCTGCCTCCGCCGCCACCGCACCCAAAAAAGAAAAGAAAAAGTAGAAGTACAGTTCAAGGAAGCCGAATGAGAAAGGCAGTTGGCAGAATGACTGCCGGGCAGTCTCCGGCCTCACCACCCACACTGCAAACAAAGCCACGCTGTGTCAAGAGCCTCCCTTAGCAACCTAGAGGGGAGCTGGGGGATGGGGAATGTTCCCTTGCCCCTGGCAGATGGAATCTGCAGGCGGGCCGGGCTTCGACTGCACCCTCCCCCGTTCCCGGAAAACTGGTGACTCTCATATGACCCGAGCTACAGAGGGTGATTATGTGGCAAGCGCTGGCTCGCTTCCCGGTGGCTGCTTAGCTTGGTTCTTAGGCCGCCTAGAATCCTGCCCCTCACCCTTCGCCAAGGCCTGTCCTATCTCTCTTTTCCTTCCCCCTTATTTATTTTTAAAAAGGGTCTCACACTGTTGCCCATACTGGCCCAGAGTTCTCGGCAGTCCTCCTGCCTCAACTTCTCCAGTGCTGGGATGACAGGCCTTTACCACTCTGCCTGTCTTTGTCTCCTCTGTACTTACTCTGGCCACAGTTCGAGGCGTGGGTGGTGGTGACCGCCTGAAAGAACAGGAGTTGTTTGTCAAAATGTTCTAGAAGGCCGGGAGGCGGCCCTGAAACGAAGCCTGAGAGGCCTCCTGCCACTTTGCAGGCCGTGCCTGTGAAGTCGGGGCTTAGACATTGTTGAGCCGCCTCCACAGCCCCGTGGGGCTCCAGCTCTGGCCTCACAGCTTCCCTCATGTATCAGTCCTACACTCTTAAGACATTTTTTCGAACGAGTAGGCCTAATTGGTACCACACAGAACCTGGGGTTCTATAAAGTTGGGGTGTACCATCAGATCCGCAGCTGCCCAGGGACCGGCCCCAGTTCTCAAGGGCAGTAGGGCCGTTTCAGAGGTTCCAGGCCTTTAAAGACACGTTTTCCTTGGGAATAGGATGTGAGGGGACAGGTGAGGCGGCCTCAGGGCCGGGCCGGGCCCACCCCTTTGTTGGTGGACGTACGTAAAGCCTGGGTCCTGCTTCCCTCCAACACCTTGAGCTCCACCCTGCTCAAGGACAGGGGCAGGGCAGCCACTGCTGCTGTAGACGTCCCCGGATCAAAACAAGTTGTAAACAAGGCTTTGGGTGGGGCTGGGCGCGACAGCTTGCAGCGCCCGCCTGGGTAAGCTCTTTCCAGCCAGCTCTGCGGTTCCGGGCGCGGCCCACTCTCCGAGCCCTTTCTCAAGGACATGGGCAGTTCCCCACCGGCTTTGCCCCATCAGATTTGAAAGTCAGCTCCGCCTAGTTGTTTCCCAACTTGGGACGCAGGGAAGGACCTCAAGATCGCCGATTAAAACACTTGGGATAGTGAGAAGGGTTTGGAAAGGGTTAGTGTTCTATCTAAGTGTGCCCTAAGTACCCGGCCAGTATTGCTGCCACGACTAGAGACTATTCCAGAACTCAACTCCAGCCCCCATCCTTCAAAGGTCCAGTTCCTGGCCTTCTAGCTTGCCTTGGGCTTTGCCTGGTGCCAGAGCTCCCCCTCAGCCTGGCTTTTCTTTCCACACTGAGGCCGGACCTGTGGCTCAGGAAACTGCAAAGTCACTGCTGGCTGGCAGGAAGCCTTCCCGTCCTGATCCGGGAGCCTCGGAGCAGCCTGAGCAGAAAAAGAACCTGCCCCTGCCCCTGCCCCCAAACTTGCCAGGCTCTTCCTGCGGGGGTGGGGAGGGTGGGGCGCTTAACCCCCTTTCTTCCCCCATTTCACAAATCCGGATTACTGTCTCTATGGAATCAGGTCTCACCCAGCAGCTCCCAGGCCACCTTTTACCCTCTGCTCTTGTACATCAGGGCCACAAAGTCACTTCTCAGTCAGCCCCTTGGCTATAAAACAGTGCCCACCCCCCACCCCACCTGATCTGTGGGACAGGGCTGTTGTCCAGCGTGTCCTAGATCACAGGGCCCACAGGCGCTCTGGCAGGATGCAGGCCCCAGTGTGGGTCACTTCTCAGTTTCCATTTTCCAAAGGTCTCTCTGAATCCTGTGAGGCCCTGGTAAATATTTACAGACAGACTCAAACAAGGACCTCAGGCCAGCTACAGCACATGATGTGATGGTTCTGCTCAAGGACTGGGGTGGCCAGGGGGGGAGGGCGCTTTGGGGACCGGATGTAAGCAGAAGGGATTTGAGGGAGAGGTCACTGGAGGTGACCACAGGGTGCTCTGTGGCAAGGCCAAGGAGGTCAGGAAGGGGGACAGGGGTCCTCAGACAGCAGGAGGGTGCTCAGGAGTGGAGCCTGCCTTTCCTGGGCACTTCGGGGTCTGTGAGTTCCTCATCTCAGTTGCCATTTGCCGGGCTCCGGGGTGTGTCCTCCCTTTTCAGCTAGGCCTCAGGCTATGACTTGCAGAAAATAACTCAGATGACGTCAGCCTCTGTCCAGAGCTCCCAGGACTGTGTTCCTGACAAGTCCCTGTGTACCCGGCCCCTGCTTTCTAGGTTCGTGGGCTCCAGGCTCACCCCCCTTCCTGAACCTTTTCCAAGCTCACCTTTCTGTCACTGTGTCCCTGCAGATGGAACTGGGGGCCCATCCCACGGGCTTTGTTTACCCTGGGTCTCCATGACCCTTCTGATGTTCCACCAGTGAGGCCCAGCTCTCCTGCATTCCTCCAATTGCCTTGTGTGTCCATTCTCAGCTTCCTCCCCCGGGCCACCCGGCAGCACGTCCCTCTGGGGTCATCTGCCCACATCTGGTCATACCTCACATTGGTGTCCAAAACCCCTTCCTCCTTCTCCAGGACCAGCCATATGCTGGTCCTCAGCCCAGGAGGAGCTTGCCACCACAGGGACCCGACCCACTGGTGAACTAGACTGTGTTTGGTCCTTCTACAATCTGTTTGGTATGAGTGCCATCCATGTGTTAACAACCACAGAGCCAGGGCTTCTGCTCGCTTCACAGGGCGGCGGAAAACCCCTCTGCTGATCACGACACATAGCAGGCCTGTGCTCACTGGCTGAGGGCGTCAGTGGTCATCACTGACACCAGCACCCAAACGCCATGGCAGGTAATGGAAGTTCCAGAGATGAGCTTGGACTTTAGTCCTTCCTTGTAAATCATGTAAAATAATTTAAAGCTGGGACCAAGCTGGGCGGGCGTGGTGGCTCACACCTGTAATCCCAGTACGAGGGGAGGCAGAGGCAGGCAGATCTGAGCTGGAGGCCAGCCTGGTATGCAAAGTAAGTTCAGGCTAGCCAAGTCTACACAGAGAAACCCTATCTTAAAGAAAAAAAAAAAAAAAAAAGACCAGTGGAGCTCCTTATTAGTAGAATGCTTACCAGCAGCCACAAGGCCCAAGGTGAACTAGCTGGAGGGCCCAGTAAGGGTGTAGAGGGGACTGACAGCTGGGCATCAGGAAGGGGTGGGGTGGGTGTGCAGGGGCCAGAGACTGCAGTTCCTGTGGGAACCAGGTGAAGCAGAGACACGTGATTATCCTGAAGATCTGCCCACCTCAGGTTCCAAAGCAGAATCCACTTGGATTCTGGGTCCTGGTTCCTGAACACTTGAAACGCAGAGCAGGAGGAAGATCCTGGCCTTCGAGTCAGCGTGTGTGAACTTGAGCATTGCACCCCACCCTGGCCTGCCCCAGCTCTGCCTTGACAGCAGTGGAGGCAGATGATGCCACAAATAAGAGGCTGAATGCTAGAGGTAGTGTCTGGAGCCCAGGTGGGTTCCAGGCACCCTTGAGATAGACAAAGGGGACTTGGGGAGAACTCTGCATGGGGAATTGTGGTGAAAATTAAAGAATTTTGGCTTCTTTAAAAACACAGAGCTATTGTGTGAATGTTCTCCTTTTAGTCCTGGGTGTGGGAGCATGTCCTCGG